TTGGTAGCCCAGGCTGGCCTCGAACTCACAGAGATCCGCCTGGCTCTGCCTCCCGAGTGCTGGGATTAAAGGCGTGCGCCACCACCGCCCGGATATAATTTTTAAAATTATTTTATGTGTATGGATGTTTTAGAAATTGTTATTATTTTATGTGGATGGGTGTTTGGCCTACCTGTATGTCCCCATCCAATGTGGAGTTTAGCTGCTGACCAATCCTCTGCTTATCCCCAGACACAACCTTCATATTCTGTCTATCCACTCTTCCTTTATGTACACTCAACTTTGGACACATAGTCCATTAGTGAATCATTATTTTTAGGCAATATGACTCATCTTTCAAGAACCGGTTTTCTGTCTTCACATACCAATTCTATTTATAACAATTTGATTTAATTCTGTTTAAACTTGTTTCAGTTTTTACTCACAGAGCATTCATATCATACCTTTGCCATGCATGATGTTTTTGCTATTTCTTATATCATAACTTAAAATAATTTTCCCTAACAGGACACAAAGGACTTGAATGTTCTCTATGTGTTTGTGTTTCTGAGAAAATCCTTCTCATCTCTTTAAGCACAAACTGTGTAGGATTCTTATTTTCTGTAGTAGACTGTGACAGTTCCCTCAGAGGGTTCTCTCATCCCTGTGTGTGGATGGTTGTCACTTTCCCATCAAGAGGCCAGTCATTCCACCCTCCCACCTTCTCCCCCCCCCCCCCCCCCCCCCCGTCCCCCACTTAACTTTAGTCCAATCTTCTGACCTGTTTGACCAAAAGAATTCGAAAAAAGTAATGTGTAACTGTTGTCTTAGGATTTAAAAAGTTTCTGTGGCCCCATTGTTTGCTTCATGGACCCAATGCCAGATAAAAATCTTGAGATAGTATGATGGTTGGTCTCCACTGTCCACTTGGTGGGATTTAGAATTATATAGGAAACACCTGAGAGTGTCTGTGAGCGTGTTTTTGTTTAACAAGGGGATAGGACCCTCCATGATTGGGCGGCACCACTCTATGGGCTGGGCTCCCAGACTGAATAAAAAGGAAAATGATGGAAGCGAGTTGAGCACCAGTATTCCCTTCTCTCTGTTTCCTGACGGTGGATGCTGCAGTGTGACCAGCTATTTCATGGGTCTGCCACCACGCCTTTCCTGCTCTGATGCATCCCTTCTAGAACCATTAGCCAAATTAACTCTTGCCTTCTTATGCTGTGTTTTCATGTATTCAGCCATAGTGATGAGAAAAGTCACTAACAGAGACAGCCTACTGAATGGTGGGACACGGAGTGGAAAGAGAGCCCTGGACAGTTTGTAGCTTGTCAGCCAAGGGTTGTTTTTGTAGAGGGGACCCAAAACAGCTTGACCACACAGCTGCCATGACAGCTTCTGTGACAGGCTTACTGGCAGGCAACACCCAGACCCAGGAAAAGCCATAAGCTGACACCACCCAGGGAAGGCCTACCTCCAAGGGGAAGTACCTGACGTCCCAAACATTCCAACTATTAGATAAGATGGCCAGATGTCCCTGAGTCTAGCACACACCTATGTTTGTTTTACAGATAACCCTAGACAAATGTCAGTCAATCAGGGTCCTTAACCCTGGAAATCCCCTCATCCCAGCCACTGCTATGATAAAAACTCTACCCCGCCTGGCCTCAGGGCTTTCTGCTCCTACAGCTGCATCAGACAGAGAGACCAAGCCCTGGAGCTTGAAGGTAATAAAGGCTCTTTGCTTTTACATGTGGTATTCGTTCTCCATGGTGGTCTTTTGGGGGTCTCTGCGATCTGGGCATAACAGTTTTAAGCCACTAAATTCCAGAGTCATTTGTTACACACCAATATTATGGCCATAATTGCTTTTCAAAACCCTATAGACATTGCTTCATTATGGCTGTGTTTGGAAAGGATTTGAGTATATTCCCCAGGATTCATGTTTGGAGTCTTGGGCTTCCTAAGAGCAATGTGGGGCAGTGGGTTCTAGAACTTTCAGGAGATGGAGCATAGTGAGACTTTTAGTCACTGTAAGCATGCACTCTAAGGGGAATATGAGACTTTTTTTTTTTTTCTGAGTCCTGTGGGAATGAGGTGAATGGTTTTGTTCTTACCCTGATATCCTACCTTGTTATAGACCCAGAGAAAACACAACCCCCATCTTTGAAACCTCTAGAGGCATGACCCAAATTAACCCTTTTATCTATATAATTATTTCAAGCATTTTGTTATACTGATGGTCTGATACACCCATCCTCTTGGGAAACAGACTGGTCTTTACAAGGGCAATCATGTCACTCAGTGGCTTTACCATAAATGAATAATTATACAGTGTACATTAAAAACACTATATCGCCGGGCAGTGGTGGCGCACGCCTTTAATCCCAGCACTGGGGAGGCAGAGCCAGGCGGATCTCTGTGAGTTCGAGGCCAGCCTGGGCTACCAAGTGAGCCCCAGGAAAGGCACAAAGCTACGCAGAGAAAGCCTGTCT